GAAAAGGTAAAGTAAACGAAATTTTTGGAATCAACAAAGGCGGCACTGCCTGGTCTAAATTCGATGCTTCGTAGATAAATTTTTTCGACTTTCCGCATTACTAATGTAGCCGAATATTTTGGAATGTTTAAGAAACAATTAACACAGATGTAGTATTTTTTGTTTTGATAATACAACAATATCGATATTTATATCCAACTTTGGATATTTTCATTCAGGGATTACTTTATCTTCTTTTTATTTCCTGAATTGAACATATTAATGATCTTTTATTGCTGTTATCTCGTAGATCTTTATTATCCTTTATTTAATCTGACAATGAAAAGTTCTAACCGAATAAATTTCATCATCTGATAAGAAATTTGAAACACAATTGGAAATGCATGATGTTATCCCAATCTACATTTGCAGATTATCTCTGTAATCGTACGATAATGTCTTTGTGATCCTAATTATGGTAAAGACGGCACATGTGTTTGTTTGTTTTTTTCGATTGAACACTACGTAATGAACGTTCCTCCCCTTCTAGAAATTCCATAGGTATTACTCGAAATAAATTTTGTATTACAATCTATCCTTTAAATTTATTCCACATCCATGTACATATATAAGATGATGTTTCAATATATTTCAATTTAAAATTTTCGTATTAAATTATTTATATTACTAAATTAACACCTTTCCATTAAAGAAATTAATTAAGATTAAAAAGCTAATACTGTATGTATGAATAAAAATTTTATTTTTTTTTAGAAAATTTTATTGGTAAGTGAAAGAAGTTCCTTCTTGTATTTGATTTGCTTGTGATCTCAGGATGCTGAATCATTTCTGGGTTGATATAATTCTGTTCTTGTACAATTTCAATTTCAGGTACCGAGTTGATAGAATTCGATTCTTGTATAATTTCAATTTCAGGTACCGAGTTGATAAAATTTGATTCTTGTATAATTTCAATTTCAGATACCGGGTTGATAAACTTCGATTCTTGTACAATTTCAATTTCAGATGCCGGGTTGAGTGAACTCGATTCCTGTTCAATTTCAGATACCGGGTTGAGAGAACTCGATCCTTGTACCATTTCAGATACAACTTCATTTTCAGTATTTTCCACTGAGCTGAAAGTATAACCACGTCGTTTATAAAACAGACACAATCCCACAACGATAAAGAACAGCGACACGCCCGCAACCAGCAATGTAAGAGTTAACACATTTACCGGAGAATGTGGCGAATCCGGCTGGTTACTAGTGACCCAGGAGAACGACTCAACATCCAACAGTGTAATTTTGTCATTTGCTCGATCCGGCGATGTTGTTAGTCTTCCAAATGCGACAATCATGTATCGGTCAACAAGCGTTGCTGTGTGTCTAAATGGTGAAGCCTGGCGCGGATTTGTGATGGCTTGCTGTAGCCAAATGAAGGAGGTTTGAGCGGTGACATCGAGAATTAGAAGTTCGGGAGTAGCGGGTTGGTTTTTTTCAGTTTGCCCGCCGTATACTATTATTTGATTATTTGGCGCTGAGATATTTCGCTTCATTATCAGTGTTTTTCTATGCATAAATGAGCAGAATTCATATTGTGGGAAATGTACCTAAGACAGAGGAATGTCCAATTCGAGGCGCTACAGGTACAGATACTCCTTGGTTAGAGGCTGGCTATTTTTGTAGAAAATCACAAAATTAAAATTTTATTCAGAGAAACATTACCAACATAGACTACAAAAAAATACCTACCACAAACCAAAATTGATTTTTATCAATACTATACACCAGAATCTAATCCACAAAAAGATAGAGTTAAGATCTCGAAACCAAGAAAAATTCTGAATTAGAATCTCACTTACCTTCGACATGTCATTAAATTCACCAGTCTCATTTATTCCGCCAATATAAATAATCGAGTTAAATGTTTCGACATAAGTGGCCGTGTAATCGGCCATCGGTGGAACATAGACGCCATTCATCTGCGTCATCGTGCTCCAGAGATTGTTTAGTGTATCGTATACATCGAATTCTGAGACGATTCTCTCGCCGTTGAATCCATTACTAGCGTCATTGGTGCTAGCTGTATTATTGTTATTGTTAGGAATACCGCTAGTAGCACTGCTTGTAGTTGAATTCTTTGGGAGAATTCCATCAAGATAATAAATTCGAAGCTGATTATCAACCGCACATGCAAGCTTAAGCCGTTTTATATTGTGGGAATTTGAAGTGGGTAATGGATAGCTTGTGAGAAATACTGAATCAGTGATAGATGCTGAACCAGTGGCAGGTGCTGAATTAGCGGTAGATGCTGAAGCTGGTGCTGAAGCAGATGTCCCCAATATGGGTTTGCCATTGCCAGGACCACAAGGAGGAAGTGGACTTGTAGTTGGGAATACGCATTCATATGTGGTCATAGTCAGGCTAAATGGCCATACTTGATTTACTGTTGTTAATGAATTGGTATTATCTCTCTTTTTGAGCAGTTTGGCTGATGTAGGTGTTGGTGTGATTTTTCTTCTTTCTTTCCGTTTCAATGTTAATTCTCTTTTTTTATGTGTATTATTAATATTAGAGGAAACAATTGTCGTGTCGAATGTATATACAAGACTATCCTATCAACAAATATTTGTTATTTCATAATTAATTAAAACGGAAAATCGAGTAAGAAAAAAATAAACTTCATACGTACCTGAGTATTATCACCAGAGCCCACACCACCAAACAGATAAATTGTCGCATTATTAGCCCCTCCAGCAGCAGCAGTTCCCCATGCAATAGCCGGCACAGAAGGATTCATTAAATTTTCCCAGGGCATTTGTTCATTTTGTGTGGTATCAAACGTTGTTGATAAATCTAATGAGAAGAATTCCGCTTGCGGCAACGAAGAATTCGTAAAGATTCCATCGGGTGATGTTATGCCACCGAGAAAATATAACTTTTTCCCCACTAGTGTTGCGGTGTGCGCGTATCGTGAGGCGGGGATGAATGGTGGTTGACTGGTTGATGAGAGCGATCTTTTTATGTGTATGAGTTTTGATGATTCGGATAATGGATGTAGTAATACATGTAATGATAGTGGTATTGTAAAAAATAGTAGAGACGAAATAAGTTTTGAAGGTGAGGATATTTTTTTGAATCTTGAAATCATGATGGAATGAAATAAGTTTGAATTTAAATTATAAAATTCTAATTTTTGATTGTTCAAACACGTAAAATATATATTAGTATTCAAAAAAATGCAAAAGACATGTAGGCAGGCTATTTTTCGCACCGAATTTGTGTTGTGCTTTCTGATTTTTCGTTCGTCACAAATTTCTGCTACTAACGCTAAATTGTCTAATACATTAAAATCCTTATCTTTTAGAATTCCTTTATGGTTTACATCTAATTAATGTTTACGGAAATGATTTTTGGGCTGAATCACGTTCGTGGAAATCTTTTAATTTATTGTTGTGACTTTTATAGTATTTTTCATTGATGTCATGTCATTTATAAGTCACTTAGCATATAAAGACTCAAATGCATGTAAATGAGTGTACTGAAACATATTAGAATTGTACATATATACATGTACATGTATACAACGCGCGCGTCCTAAAGAACCGGAAAAATTAAAACCACATTGTAGCACAACATGCATACAATTTTATTTTCCCCTTTTTTATCGTTATCGTTATCGGGTGCGCCTAATTTAATTTTAGAAAATATAAATAAACCTTTTGAGCTATTGTAAAAAAAATGCTGATCAATAATTTGCGAAATTTAATTAAAAATACATGTATTGTACTTATACATGTGTACCTATTTTAACAATCAACTATTAAAATTCTTTGATCTTTTTATCCACCTTGATTTCTACTTCAGAAATTTTTTTGCTCTTTGCAATAAGTAATGTCTAAAAGATCAGAACTTACAGATTTTGAACATAAAGAAAATTGTTTGTCTATAAAAACAATAAGAGAAATCAACGAAATAGTAAGACATTCATTCTGAAAAATTATCGTTATAGTTGATTCTAATTATAAATTTCATTTAAGGTTAATATGTAAATTCTCTTAAAATATCGATTATAGTTAGTAAACATAAAAGTAATTAATTTTATTCAAATAGGAATTATACTATTCTAATGAACTAATTTTTATGAAAAAAGATATTGTTTGAAAAGCTTATAATTTTGAAATCCTAATAAAAAGATTTATCAAAATTGAAACACTCATTGTGTCATTATCAAATTTTATTGAAATAATCCAATAATTATTAGTTTCAAGCTCTCGAAATATATCATTTTTATAAAAAAACAAACCCACTTCTTAAAACAATATAAAACTACAAAAAAATTTCCAAAACTAAACTGTAGAGGATTAAAAGAAGATGGTGTGAACAGGTGAAAGTAAAATTTATAATTTTTTGATTCAGATGAAAGAGGATGATTTAATTCACTTGCATTCACAATATATTAAGTCGATAGTAGAATTTGTTGGAGCTCTATTATAATATGATTATTTTAGTGATTTGATATTGAAAATTAAACAAAAAGCTATATCAAAATTTCTTCAAAAAAGATGAATTTCATGAAAACTTGAGTAATATAATTTATCTGGTATCATCTTTTTAAGATAATAATCTGAAATATAAAGTAATATTCATATGTCAATAGTTTTAAACTCATTAAAAACTTATGAAATGAAATTGATAACATGTTTCTGCAATATTAATTATTATAAACTTTATAAAATAATATAGAATAATATAGAATCAGATCAAACTTAGTTACTATTTAAGATTGACTAACACTATGCCAAAAAGAACTGTGTAGTACTAAAGTTAATGAGAGCTATACATTATATTAGCTATTATATAATATATACATATATTTGATTAAAGAAAATATTGATAAATTATATAAAAATTTCATATTTAGATGTACAAAGTATTGTACCATGAAATTTTAATTTTTGTAAAAATGAAAAATTAAATTATAACTGAGAATATAGCGTTAAAAAGCCAAATATATAGCATGAATTATTTATAATTTATGAGATATTATATTTTAAAATTTAAAATTGAGCAGTACAATAATTATGAAAGTCACTATATACGTTCTGTATAATTTACACGCATAAAGATGTGTATAGGAATCTCGAATTGTATAAGAATTCTGTACTGTAATCTAAGTGTAGGAATTCTGTATAATCCAGTTTGTACTGTAAAATTCGGCATGTAATAATTATATTTTGTTCAGAAATTAATTTTTTCCGCATTAGTATATTACTTGATTTAATAACCCTGCAAATATTTATATGACGTTTCATGAAAAGAATATATCCTTCTTTGATAAGAATGGGATTAGCTTTCATTGTTTTGAATAGAAAATGTTGTAAATATAACACGTTAATTTGTGAGATCTTTTTGATTATAGTAGAAATAAATGTTATAAGTAAAATGTGCATATTGGATTATCAAAATAATTCACAGAGAAAGGTTTGTGCATTCCAACGAATATAGAAAATTTAACCAAAAAAATTGTGGAGAATTTTCTTATGCGAGTCTAGAGATGCTACACTAACGCTGCAGATGTTCTGGAATGGTTATGTATGAAATTGTAATTGATGAATCATGGAAATGAACAGGAACCAATAAAGCATTCTAACCAATAAAATCACTAAACAACAAATCAACTGTAAAATTCAATTGTGAGACCGTAAAGAGAATTTGGCGAAATAGCTGGCGTAATTCCAGAGAAGTTCAACACAAACTTGTATTCCACTTCGCTCTTGTGAGCGTTATGTAGCTTCGCTTCGAAAAAATGGACGAATTCCGAACATTTGTCAACCTGGTCGTCCACACAAAATTCCAATTTCAAAGTTAAATAGCGTTTGAGTGATTTTGTTATTTTTTATTTATATTCGTAGGGATGCTTTTTTGATATTTAATTTTATCTAATTGTTGTCCTTCTAGAATAAGAAACGCTTTAATTTCTTCATTAATTCTAGGAGATTCTAATGAACTGTAATACTGAAAATCTAATCATCATCAGATTTGATAGACCAGATAAAGTCTTTTAATTATACAGTAGTTGATCCGTTTCCAGAATACATGCAGGATCCCAGCATTTTTCAATAATAATCTGCATCATTCAGGAACATTATTTGGTATTGTAGGTCGTACTCCTTTATAGATATCTAATACGAGATGTTTATTATGACTTCGATCACCAAATGGTCGTTTATTTGTTACAATTTCACACACAACCATTCTAAAGCTATAAACATCTCATTTAGCACCTCTGGACTCATACGAGGAAGTACTCTACAAGTTACTTAATTAGATTTTTCTTATATTTGTTTAAATGCTAATAAACACCGAAGATGTCTCTTGTACCGCATTAATTAAGGGATCGAGTGCATGTAGTTTGGTTACACCTATGTATTTCTTAGTAAAATAGCAAAAAACAAAATTTTCGCTCTTATTATAACATCTTAACATTACAAATTGACCTATTACATGGTATTACTTAAAATTGAATTACAAGGTTTCTACTTTTCGTTTGGCTAATTAACATTGTTATAATAGCAATATTTTTAAAAGAATCTTTTCACAAAGTAGTCAACTTTTCATTAAAGATCTACATTCAACCAATTCTCTAGAATTTTGTTCTTCAAAAGCAATTAATAGTTCGCAATAAACATCATATGTAAATGAATTCTCATTTATTGTCATTGTTGCCACATTTTCATAATTTGTATTTGAAAATTAATAATTAAAAATTAATAATTATATTATGCTAACATAAATCAATTTTTTGAAATTGATTTTGCATTGAGGTTCTATCCATAATATGTAATCTGTAGCTTTAATGGTATAGCATTCCATTTTGACCTCTGAACTAATATAATCAAGCTTGAATTGGTAATCAAATTTAAGATATAATGTCACATAGTTGTTAAATTATTTTCTGATTATATGTTTTATGTCTGCTGGTCCAGTAAGATCAAAATCTGCAATTTGAACTGCTTTATTATTATGTATTAATATGTTTCATGTTCAGAATAAATGTCATGTCATGATTCAATAGTGATAGTGAATTTATGCAGGTATTATAATATTATTTAAATCTTTCAATTTTCATTTTCAATTTAATTCTTCAAAGTTAGAATTAAATGTTGCTTAAATCATCACCTTCTTGTATAATCTATTACTATTGCTATTAAATATTTATAGCTTATTTTTAATACCTGATAATAATAATATAAATACACTTTAGAAGTCTGAATTTATTTTTGAATTGTATTAAAATCATGCATTTTTACTTCATTTATTAAAAATGTTATTATATTATATCTTTACAAAAAATAATATAAACAAACAAATATTATTCTTTAGAAATAGTTATATATAAATAAAATAATATTATTATTTAAAAATAATTATATATATTTAGAAATAGTTATATTTATATATGCAAAAATAATGTTCTTTTTAGAATTTTTAAATAAAAATGTTTGAAATTTAAAATTTATAAACTTAACTCATTATATCTATAATCTTGTTATAATTCATCTTATTTCTTATTCTAATTATTATTATAATAATTTTCAAGTTATTTTTTGTTTCAAGTAAGAATTTTTTCCTGAATTTTGTTAATAATTTGATTATTTAATTGAGAATATAGTAAAAATTGATCCAAAATTTCTTTTTTTTTGGTTATAGTTTGCCATCAAGTTTTATTTAATATCTCTGATAATAAATTTTCTGTTATTTATTGACATTTTGATTTATTTTTTCTTTTTATATCTTCACTTTCTTTATTATTTTTTCATTTTTTTTTAAGATTATTACATTTATATTCTATAATTTCCTATTTATATTATCTTTTAATAATTCAATCTTCAATATCTTGACTAAAAATAACTTCTTAACTGTTATAATATGATGATAAATAAGTATCATCTAGTTATAACTAGTTGTGACTTATAAAATTTTGAAGTTGCAATATATTATAATAAGTGATAAATAAGTATCATAAACTTGCTATATCATTTCTAATCTTAATATAAAATAGTTTATATTCTTTGAATTTTATTATTATACAGATTAAAAAGATATTAATATTCTTCTTCTATTAATTCTTAAGTAGTAGAAAATAAA